GACTTTTTTCATTTGATTTTTATCATTTTGACTTTTTTGCCGTTTTTTCACTTTTTGTCTTTTGACTTTTCGCGTTTTTTGACTTTTTGCCATTTGACTTTTTGCTTTTGACTTTTTGCGTTTTGACTTTTCGCCATTTTGACTTTTTGCCATTTGACTTTTTTGCTTTTGACTTTTTTCGTTTTTGACTTTTCGCCATTTTGACTTTTTGCCATTTGACTTTTTGCTTTTGACTTTTTGCGTTTTTGACTTTTTGCCATTTTGACTTTTTGCTTTTGACTTTTTGCGTTTTTGACTTTTCGCCATTTTGACTTTTTGCCATTTGACTTTTTGCATTTTTGACTTTTGGACGTTTTGACTTTTTGCCATTTGACTTTTTGTCTTTTGACTTTTATCCGTTTTGACTTTTATCCATTTGACTTTTTTCCATTTGACTTTTATCCATTTTGACTTTTTGCATTTGACTTTTTGTCTTTTGACATTTTGTCTTTTGACTTTTTGTCCTGGAATCACGTGCCTTCAGGGCATGGACATCATCCGACCGGCAAATTCGATGTCATAATTAAGAATGAAATATGCCAAAAAAGTTTTTATATTCAATGAAATGCCTTCCGCAACAAAAATTGCGACCCTCCTCTTTGGGCACAAATACCGCCATCGCTTCCTGATGGCAAGGTCTATTCAAAAACAAGCATTGTGGCGTTAAAATCCGGCTGTCCCAAAGACAGTTATTCTGCGCCAATACCAGACTGAAATAAAGCATACGGTGACGAATAGAAATGACCAAAAAATGTCCTTGGAAGATAGACGTTGTGCTCACTCACGAATTTCGCAAATCCGCATTTATGCATGCGGCCTCGCATATTTGTCACGTTAGTGGTTTCTGAACATGAGTTCGTCATTTAAGACGAGCAAAGACGAGCTGCTTATCTTGCAAAGCATGCGACAAAGACTTCCGTCAAAGTTCCAGAAAGGAGGCATCATGTCCTTCATTGTGGTTGACTGGCATTCCTCTCAGACCTCAACAGAAGCATGTCCAAGGGTTGTGGCGACTGGCCAAACAATGAAAAAATAAAAATACGCAGTTATGGAAAACTCGTCCATTGAGATACCGTCGTAACAAAGGATATTTAAAACACTAAGAGGGCCTATTCTAAATCATCTAAAAAAATTGTGGATATCGTTCATCTCACGAGACCTGAGACGGTCAAAGCATTACCTAGACGCCAGTCGCCACCCTGCGCCTTCCCTGCACCAGTGTTCGTCTAATAGACAACGCGAAGCGTCCTTGCCGGTTTATACCCCAGTGTTCGTGTTGGCCCCTGCAGGGATCCCCATGTCTGCTAAGGACGGGCTGTGTATATCACTGAACATTTTATGACCATGTATCACCCATAGTCATAGCTGATAGTCACTGTCCAACTCATCTACCTCAGTTGACGTCATCAGTGGATCACGCGGGCGTACCAGCCAGAATACTAATTCTGCAATCAATATCGCTGATCGGATATTGCAAGGGACTGCTTGAGAGGAGTGACGTAATGCTTAGAAATGGCACCTGCTGCAAGGAAGGTGCATTGGACGTTAAAGTGGATTAGTTATGTCCTACTGGCCACTGCAAGTTGCAAATTGCAAATTAGGTAGGTCGGTATGTCCTGCGGCTAAGGTCTGCCACAGCCCACTTTATACTCAGACTTGAGATGGTCTCATCAATCATAGGTCGCTGGAGGTATAAATAAAACTCGAGACAATAACAAAAACTCACTTTACAGAAATAAAAATCAGATAGAGAAATGTTCGAAGCACAAGGTCAGCAGCCTTCGACTACGACATCCGTATCCTTGAAAATACCTTCACAAGCTCTTTGGCACGTTTTCAATTCACTTCATTACAAGCCACCAACAAAGACCATTTCACGGCGATTCATTAGTTTATCGTCTCACTATCGTAAAGCCATCGCTCGCTGATCCGTCGGCCTTTTTATAATGCTAATTTTTCGCCATCTCACTGCGCGGCCGGCGGCGATAGGGTCGAGATTATAACAAAAACGGACGGAGAAACGCCCCTACGGCTATCGCTCGGATGAGTAACAAACGATGCCAAATTACAAGCGATGGCGGGCTTGAGGCCGCAATGCCAGTGTTGAGGAGCTTCGAACTAACTGCTCACAGCGGGTGTTCGTTTTTCGAGGGCGTTCGTAATGGTTCGGGTAGAGGGTCTCATGGCTACAAAAAGGCAGGAGGCGCATGCGGTTGGTTTTTGTCAGCATTATATCTGATGGTGGGCTCAATGCCACAGATCAATCTAGGGTGGAGTGGAGTGATTCTATTTCTGCATGTAATCGACCCTTTAGTCAATCGGTCCTCTAACCAGTGCAATGAGCAGCAACTCTCCGACGTAGCCAATGGCAAAACAACATTTCGTGTTTTGCTTCAGCTAGATTGACGAAGAAAGAGCAGAAACTTCAGACAGTCTGGGACTCTGAAGCTCGGTCTAGATCTTCAGACGGTCTAGCTCTCAAACAGGCCTGTTGACCTGTAAACGGTGGTCTGTGTAAACTCAAAACTGCCGCCTCAGAACCACCCTTTCTCCCTCATCACTCTCTCATGTTTTTTTTTTTCGGCTGAACAGATTGTTTGTTTGTTTGTTTTTTGTTTTGTTGGGTTAGGCCCTTTCGGTCCAATTAGACCATTTCAGAGCCGGAAGGATGATAGGAATTAGGGGGAGACATTGGTCTGGGCAGGCACCCTAGTGAGTCACCGGGGCTGAGCCCATCCCGAAGGACAGGCCGGCCAGCCCCAAGGTACTCACTGCACCCGGCTACGGGGTGCGCTCCCTCGGGAGCAGCGGTGCCGCTCCAAGGGAGCAGCCCGCATGAGATAAAGTTGCCTGTCCAGCCCGGAGGGGGGTTGCGGCGTGGAGGAGAAGGATTTCTGCATTCTGAGGATAGAAGCACGGAACGGTGGGCTGAACAGATTTTTGTTTTTGTTTTGTTGGGTTAGGCCCTTTCGGTCCAGTAAGACCATTTCAGAGCCGGAAGGATGATAGGAATTAGGGGGAGACATTGGTCTGGGCAGGCACCCTAGTGAGTCGCCGGGGCTGAGCCCGTCCAGAGGACAGGCCACCCAGCCCCAAGGCACTCACTGCACCCGGCTACGGGGTGCGCTCCCTCAGGAGCAGCGGTGCCGCTCCAAGGGAGCAGCCCGCATGAGATAAAGTTGCCTGTCCAGCCCGGAGGGGGGTTGCGGCGTGGAGGAGAAGGATTTCAGTATCCTGAGGATAGAAGCACGGATAGGTGAAACAGAACAGAACAATTTGTTTGTTTGTTTGTTTGTTTTGTTGGGTTAGGCCCTTTCGGTCGACAAGACCATTGCAGAGCCGGAAGGATGATAGGAATTAGGGGGAGACATTGGTCTGGGCAGGCACCCTAGTGAGTCGCCGGGGCTGAGCCCGTCCAGAGGACAGGCCACCCAGCCCCAAGGCACTCACTGCACCCGGCTACGGGGTGCGCTCCCTCGGGAGCAGCGGTGCCGCTCCAAGGGAGCAGCCCGCATGAGATAAAGTTGCCTATCCAGCCCGGAGGGGGGTTGTGGCGTGGAGGAGAAGGATTTCAGTATCCTGAGGATAGAAGCACGGATAGGTGTGAACAGAACAATCTCCAGGAACTGGGTTGACTTGAAAGTGAACGGACTTCTTTGCTCGTAGAAGTGACCGTTTTCCGTTAGTAAGGCCTAGTGGCCTGTCTTGAGTCGCGATACAGAGCAAGCCGCTGCGGTGCACCAACTGGTTGCTTTATCAGTTGGATGTCTTCCCAACTCGAAACTCCTCGCATCCCATCTCATGCCCAGAAGATCGAACAGGCAACAGGCCAACTCCCGCAAACCAAAAGGCTCTTGGTCCCCAAACGCTTGGAGCGAGGCATGTGGCGACACCTATAATGGAAGAGTGCTCCTTCCAGCGAGGGAGAGTTCAACATACAGCGACATCTGCGTCGATTGGCTGTTACTCCAGAACTAGGCCTCCGGAATCACAATCAGGCCGCCTTGCGCCCTAGCTTTGGACAGAGCATAACTGATAACACTGATAACACTAACTGATAACATAACTGGCATTACGTTCATGTTATGAGCCACGAACCATAAACATCAATAGAAATGAGCATAGAAAAAAAGCCAACACGACGCATGCACTACTGCATCGTCTCGACACCTCTTGTTGTCCCGATATCGAATCGGTCACAATCAGCTGCATGTAAGCATTAGCATTGATTGAAGAGTATGAGCCTATTCTGAACTCACGACAAGGCTTCGTTCAAGCTCAACATGTCTCGCACATCTAGACCAAATCGCTCCGCATCATGTTTGTTCAACAGCCTCTAAGCCCCACTAAGATGTAAATAATTCAAACATATCTCCCCACAAGTTCTTCCCCTGCTCGCCATCTTCGTCCATTGCCCTCGTCATCCACCCCTGCCGCTCCCGCTACTTATTCATGCATGCTTTCACGACCTCCTAGACCGTGCCAGCCACTCCCTGAGGCCAAACACGTGCCAAAACCATGAGTGTTCTCGGCATGGCTGTGGTGAGATGGTATCTTACATCGTTCGTGTCGCTCCTGCAGCTTACATTGCAACGGTGCATGGTGCAGACTCAGGTGGGGGAGGGGGAGGCAGGGTTACCGCACTTTAGAGCGATGCGTCAGAAAGCATGGCAAGGCAAACAGTCGTGCACAGTGGCATACAGCGTAACATTTCCACAAAAGTTATAATTGTGTAAACTAGAAAGAGACATGTTTGTTACGGAGCACATTTTTAATATGCGAGTTCATTGTTTACCTCCTAAAAATTCGAAAGAGAAGGCAGCGAGAAGAAAATTATAACGGTAACATCAGTCGAATCAAATAAACGAATCGTTTGTGTGCAATAAAACGAGCCCCAAAAAAGAGAAGCCAAGAGCGCAAAACAAGACAGAGAGTCAGAGACGATGTATTTTACACCCTGGGCCTGGCCAGGCCAGTGACAGCAAGTAGGAGCCGCTATTGCCCTATAAGTAGGTGCATACAGCAGACATTATTACTGCCTAATGTCTATTTACAGACATAACACACATTAGTCCACACATTAGTCCACATCTTTGCCGGTCCCGTAGCTCAGTTGGTTAGAGCGTTGGACTCCGCGTGGTGAGAGCACGCGTTCCCGGTTATAACAGTCCGGGTTCGAAGCGCGACGGGCGCTCGACATTTATGGGCCTCCTGACAGGTATGGTTGCGGTTGGTGGCAGGCCGTAGCCAGGCGAAGTCAGCGAGGGGACCGGCCGTGCGCGGCTTTGTGCGCACGTTAAACTTTGGACTCTAAATTCTGCCATAGAATCGGAATTGCGCGATCGGAGGGTAGAGGGCAGGGTCATCGCAACAAGCTTCGCTTAGCGGTGGCTCTGTCCTTGTGAATCCTTCCCATCAAAAGGTTCGGACAAAATTTATAAAAAAAAAGAAAAAAAAAACTGAATCGCATAAACATCTCTGAAAGGGCAGTACTCGGTCGGTATTCATTCGACACAGCAAAGGATCATCTCAGGACTAATTCTGGTGCGCCTAGGTGGTGTAGGTAGCACGCTCACGAGAAGGTGGCAAGCTGGCAACGGCTGCACACGTGAGGACACTCATTCCACCGAAAGTTAATGCATACAAGAACACTTCACATACACCACAACCTCAACACTTTGTGTAGCTATGCTTTCCATATATGAACACTGGATGGCATTCAAAAAGCGAAGTTCCTTCGATATTTTCTAAATGAACTTTCGGATAGCTCTAAGTGTGTTTGCTTCGATGTTTTCTACATATTGCAGGCAAGCCAGCGTCCATAAAAAAGGATGAGGGAGATCGGTTATAGTCTCCACCCCACTGCGTTGCATTCTGTTGCAACTATACGACGGAACAAGTATCAATTACAAAGAAAAATAGACGTCATAAGATGTTCTGCATGTGAAGCCATCGAAGAGAAAAAGCCTGCAAAACCATAGCAGTTCAACATATATGGCACGATTTTGAATGAAATGACGCAATAAAGTTGTGAGGACAAAAAGTATAGCCACAAAAGACATCCGGCACCAGCTCAAAGCCAAGACTTTTGGCTGACGTCCTAGAGCTGGTTAACATAAATTACAGCCCCAATGACTTATGTTACACAGTACACATCAAAACACTATATAACATACACAAGTTGCACTACAGATGCACAAGATGTACCACCTAATGCTGTGCTTCACAGGTTTAGAGAGACATCCTTGCACCAGGATAATCGAAATTATGATTGTCAAGACAGTACGTGCGCTGAATTCGAACTTTCGTTACACACTGACATGTAACGAAATGTGACTTTCTAACGAGCACAGTGAATAGAACACCTACTCCTGCCAAGAAGAAAAAAGCCAGACATAATCGTATCTAAGCGACATCAAATAATGCACGACGGTTTAATTTATACAAAGCACCTTCAGCACTACAAATTATCGATCTAATACCTACAAATGTAACAACCGCATGCCAACGATTCGCTCGAGCGACCCTATCCCTCCATTTTCTACACTAAACCAAACACGATCCAGCGTCCACGAGTGTCTAGTTTGACCTCACAACTCTTCAACAGTGATCTCACTCAAATTGTCCGCCAGTGGAGGCTCTATAACGCCCATATCATCCTCACTGGATTCATCCTGCATCATCCTCGCTCCCGCCTCCAGCATCGCCCTCTCTTCCTCTTTCCTCGGCCTTCCGCGACTTCTAACCTGCTCCCTCGGCGGCAGAAGCGCCAGATCCTCCACCAGGGTCTGTGACATGCGCTTCCTACCAGTGCGCACGATACTGACAGGAGCTGGGAGAACCAACACGTCAGCTACGTGTTTAGGAGGGCGCCCACCAGGATGAGGGGCTAGACCGGCCTTCCAGAGGGCTTTTCGAGGGTTGTCGTCTCCTTCTTCCCGCCTTTTCCGCTTTCGGATCTTCGGTGTGCTTTTGGCGTTCACCCTTTTTACAGTCCCTGTTTCTGTTACCACAATATGTTCCTGCTCATCATTTCCTCCCAGTTCTTCAACATTTGCCTCTTCAACACCCTGTCCATCATTCCCTCCAACATCATCAGCATACACCACCGGCTCCACTTTGGCCTTCTTCGCCACAACCACCGGACTATCCAACTCCTCCACACACTCAGCTTGTTTTCTAGGACGACCACTACCCCTCGGCACCGTCCCAGCCGGGGTCAGCTTCAGTGGTTCCTCTCCATGCTGATTGAACGCGTGCTGGTTCAGACCGCTGCGGTCCACGAACGCTGCACCGCAGTGACGGCACGTGTACGGTTTGTCCCCCGTGTGTGCACGCTCGTGGCGATCCACGTGGTTTTTCTGGACGAAGGTACGCTGGCAGAAACGGCATGCGTACGGACGCTCACCTGGGGAACGATATTTGGGTACTCAACGCTAAGTAAAATAGATGACTCAAGAATGCACGCAGGTATACGTAATGCTTATGTCTGTATGCAGCTGTATACATGTTTATTTAGACCAAGCTTTACTTCCTTCATTGTTTTTTATATGCAGTTGGCAGGCAATATTTATAGATGAACTGACTACTGATAAGACGCAAGAATACAACCGAAAGCTTCACACTCATCGATATGTAGATGGCGCCACACGGCACACGAGATATAAAAAATAAATGTCTGGGAAAATCGCCTAATTGTTAACTGAATAGCCACCAATGAAGGAAAAATGTGAGCCTATCAATTTTCGCCACCCGTGACACATTATTGGCAAATCTATAAAAAGACGTTTTTTTGCCATTATTCACTGCGCAACCATTCATAACTGATGAAGTGCGATTGCTTGGCATTTTGGGACGCAATGATAGCAGCGGGTTCAGCATCCGTCTATCTGGTAACTCAGAGAACGGCCTCATCTCCATCCCTAACCTTCCTCCAACAGACACCAGCACTTTGCGGTCTCCCATCATGAATCAGACGATCTCTACCCGCCAGAACAACATGCACATCAATTTGCGTGCGGTGTCCACACTGCAGCATTTTTAGTTACGTTTCGTCAGATGGCTTCGCTTTCAGAGCAGTCCTTCCCCGGCCACCCACTATGAAGTCGCCCGTGCTCGTGGTATGAAGTCAGACCACTCTAACACCCTTCCCTTCCCTCTTCAAAGGACACCCAATGAGCGTGCCATCTATCGAACTATTACAACTCTACCGAACTTTGTATAAGGCAGCCTCGCTACCTCACCCATAAAAGTAGTCCTCATCCTCCGTCACCTACCAATGTGAAGCCGCTCGTGCTGCATTAATTCGCTCAACATTTAAGCCTTCCCTCTTCTAAAGACCTAATGAGTGTACCACCTCCGGTCCTCCCGAACTATAACAGGCATCTCATCCCACCAGACCAGCCCTCCCCATCCACCTACCGGAATAAAGTCCCTTCAGTTTCCTACATCTCACGGCTCTCCGCCCATCAAAGCAGCCTCCCCCGGCAATCTATCAATGTGAAGTCCCTCGAGTTACATTGATGGTCCCAAGCCATCAGAGCAGCCCTCTCCGTCCACCTACCGGTATGAAGCCGTTCGTGTTGCATCAGACCGCTCTGCTGTTTGAAGGCCTTGTCACAGTAGCTACACTGGTACGGCCGTTCACCCGTGTGGCGACGAATGTGCTGCCGTAGCGAGTTGGTGTCTGGGGAATTAGAGCAGTGACGTTAGTATGAACATATTTACACACAGGAAGGGAAGCACTCGATGTCATGAAGTTATCTACGATAGATTCATTCTAGGGGAAACAGCGTTAAGCTTAGGAGGATACACAGAATCAAAATGATGGAAAATACTAGTCCACTATCCATCGGTAGCTAGCCATAAGATAAACTTTGAAGATAGCCATCAAGCTTCTATCCATCGCGGAGCCGATGTCACGGAAAATTACGGTAGCAATACCATACCAATATTACGTTACCAATACCAATATTACGTTAGCAATTACCCTGTGCAATTAGCAAGACTGACAAAACAACTATTCATCCATTCCCCCCACCTTTGAACTTCATGTCGCAGTAGTTGCAGCTGTGCTTCCTCTCCAGACTGTGCACCCTCATGTGAACCACCACCGCACCCTTCAGCTTGAACGTCTTCCCGCAGATGCGGCAGCTGTAACTGTGAAGCTCCTCCACCAGCGGTACGGGTGGCGGAGGCGGGCCCGCGACTCGAGCCACCGGTGATCGACTCGGGCTGTCTGGAAGGGCTGAGGAATTGGCAGGTTTGGACGCCTTGGTTGATTTGGGTTTGGTAGGTTTGGATGGTCCGGCTGCGGCAGATGTGGAGGAACATGGGACAGGGGTGGGGGTGGGGGCTTCCACCTGTGGTGCGGCAGATGGGGCAGAAGCCTCACAAGTGCACTTGCATTTGCACTGTTTAGCTGGCTGCTGCTGAGGCTGCTGCTGTGGGTTATGAAGAGGATGCAGATAGCCCACTTGCATGGATGGAGCAGAAGGAGAGGTCTGCTCCACAACTGTATAAGTCATCTGCACACAGGATGCTGTTGACTGCGGGTGGTGTGGATAAGCCATTGGAACAGAGTGCTGCTGCTGCTGCTGGATTGCCTCGTACGGCTGCTGTACAGGCTCCGTCGGGTAGTAGGCCGATGGGTCGGCAGGAATGTCTGGGTGGTGGAGCACAAGCTCTGTGATTTCCTGGTGAGAAGGGTCCATGGTGTTGGCAGTATGCCTTGGAGTCTCTCTGGCACCACTGGTCAATCCTTGACTGATGATCGATGAAGACACAGCTGCCACCTGCAACAGTGCACAAGACAAATTAAAAGCTGCAGTCAGAATATGTAATTCAAATGCAGCATGCCAGCCATCAACAGCAGAGTACAGCATTGAACAGCATTGAACATTCAATAGCTATATTGATATCTACCTATGCATTTTGAAGGGCATTACTCTAACCTAAATATCACACAAATAAGTGAGATAGGTATTTAATAGGGTGGTTCAACTGACACCATTAGGACACTCAAAAGATGCTTGATGATTTGGAAGAATTTCAAGTCTTTATTTAAGAGCTTAGTGCCAGCCGGGCCCAGCCGTCTTGCAGTAAAACGGTCAATTCTTATTATGTCATATTTTGAACGCAAAACGAGTGCATTTTTTAAAATATGTGAGCTAATTTAAGTCTTTCATACTTCCAGTCCACCTGTCAAACAATATCATTGGAAAATAGTGGGTGCTCGGAACAAGAACACACTGCCCACAATTGAGTTTTAAATTTCAGAAAGCTTAAGTGTGATAAAAATTCATCCTCTAAAGGAGTGCGTTAAACATCAGAGAAAGTAGCAGTATTCATGCAAGAAACGTGATTAATGGGAAATATGCTACCTGTACCCATCAAGGTACGATTAGCTCTGCCTCTTGGACAATGGATGACACTGATGTCTGAAATGATCACATTTAGTGTAAAAAAGAAACAGCTATTCGAAAAAGGAGCTTAGGAAATTCATGGACTTCTTCCTGACAATAATTATAAGTACCGGTAAGGAGTCACGATTATAATAGCCTCTTATTATTATTAAATGCAATGATGCACAACATGCAGAATCTGCCGAAACCTGCAAGATGCGCTTGAGATGCGCCGTTTCTGCCGCAAAGCAATTGCTCACATTTACTAAAAAAATGCACTCGTTCTAATATTGTGACGTCATAAGTATTGACCGTTTTACCGCAAGGTGGCTGGTTAGCAATTACCTCACAATAAGACATTAAGGCATCATTTTAGACCAATTTTCTTTTCTATCACCAATACTCAAGTTTTCAACACAAATATGTATTCATTTCAGGCTACAAATACTGTTGGGCTTTTGTGACGTATTCAACGATGGCAAGTGGTCATGAGTCTTCAAAAGAATACAGAGGGGTGTTCACGGGCACCGCACACTGCTGCGTGCGGTGTGTGCGGTGCGTCCAGCAGGCGTGGGGGTAGGGGATGGGTAGGCGGTTGTGACGTCACGGCTGCGTGCGGTGGACGGTCCGCTGTGGCCAGTCCCGACCGGCCACAGCGATCGCTGTGTGCGGTGACGGAAGGCTGACGTAGGGACGAAGTGGGCGGAGCTTGGAGGCTGTGTGCGGTCCGACCGCACACAGGGCCCGTGAACAGCCCTCAGATGTTTGTTTTCGCTATCCTTGACATCCTTGATAACAATGGCCTTGGGCCTGTTCCAGCGCCTCCAGTAGAAATTCTTGACTGGAGGCTCTACCAGAGGTTTCACTGGAGGCGCTGGAACGCAATCTGGAGATTTCTGGAGATTGGCATCAAATATACTAAAAGTATGACGATTGTCCTCTCTTGAAACGCAAAATTTATTTGCAATTTTATTAAAAAAGATAAACAAAATTATAGCAATGTAATTTTCTTTACATTCAAGTTGTAAAAGAATCGGTCAAAAGTCCTTTGTTTACATTCGTGATTGTCACATGTGCGCCATAATTGTAGACCAGAGCCTCCAGAGAAATTTGGACCTCTCAACTCTCTGGAGGCTACTGGAGGTTTCTGGAGCTTTGGCGAGAGCTTTCTGGAGCTTTCTGGAGGCGCTGGAACGCTCTCTGGAGGATTCTAGAGCTTTCTGGAGCTTTCTGGAGGTTTCTGGAGGCGCTGGAACAGGCCCCTTGATAACAATGAAACTAATAAGTGTTTGGGAGGATGGATACTCAGTCTGCGCGCCCTAACTCTCCAACAACAACAACGATACTCAGTCTAGAAAATAGAAATTACATCAGAGTTATCATAAAGTACGAAATATATAGAGCTTTCTTCTGTTTGACTGGGTCAGGGTGTTTGATGCGGGGATATCTTTGCTTGCAGTGTTTCAGTTTGCTTAGTACCAAGGTATATTCAAATTCACTGAATATTATCCAAATAGAGACTTATTTCATGTATTATTCGTACCAATACAGTATAGGAATGACTTAGCCTTTATCTTTCACAGCAGTTATGGGATATTTTGTTGAAGATGCTAGGGGTAAGGGGACAGACGTGTAATATGTTCAAGGGTGATTGTGGTTGTAGTTTGGCTGCAAGGCATTACATTTAGTGTATTATGAATTTCAGGATATAAGTATGCAGTAAGTTATGGATGTTTTCTTATGTAATGTAGGTAGGTATACACTACACATGAGATCTGCATGTATGTTGATTTATAGTTAAGGTTTTAATGATTTATCTCAGATGAACCCTAACTTATTGTCAATTTTCTTGCAGGTTCCACTAAAGCTGTGATGCCAAACCCATCTCAGCTTGTGGGAGCTTCTTCCCTGAGCCTAGCTAAGAAGAAAAGATCAAAAGCTGTGAAAGCCAAAGCTCTAAAAAGCCATGAACTGGACTCTAGCCCTAAAGCAAAGTGAGTGAATTAAAGTGACTCATACTAATATAACTTGGTATCAATCACACTGAAAGAGCATCCTGCTTTGAACATATACCTATGAGTGTAAGGAAATGGCTCTTTACAGTGCTCAGCTACAACAGCTTTAAGCAAGTAGTTCCAAAATTATTTTTGCATGCCCATTATGCTTTTTGAACTGCTTTCTTTCACCAGCTTAGACCCATCATTTTCAGCATAATTGCCAGTCAGCCCTTCTGATACTTGCAGGCATTCAGTTGCTTTGGGCAAATAACTGGTTTTTCTTTAATTGATGTGATTCCCCACAAGTGTACTGTTTCAAATGCCATAATTTGTTACAGAGGAAAGTTAAATTGGTGATTCAACATCATTGTCTTATGAATGTTTTATTTTTCCAGGTACCGGCGGCTACGGAAGATGGTGCGTGCTCTCGTCTACGAAAACGGCGCACTTTGTGACGAGACGGCTCGCGCACAGCGTCTGGTACTTCAGGCCCAGGAGGAGCGCCGATTTCTGCTGCAGAAACTGATTCAGTTTGAGCAGCAGTGTGCGACACCAGCGCCCCAAGCGGCGGCCGCCGGAACTGGGGCTCGGTCAGCGACCCACACTAATGCGTCCATTGCTAGCGCGGCTAGCACAGCAGCGGCAGTGGGCAGAACAGCATCAACACCCGTAGCCAATGCAGTACTTCTGCCAGTACCTGGAGTCTCTCTTGCTGGGATCCCCACCGCGCGATCAGTGGCGCCTCTGGTGGCGACGCCTGGAACCAGCACTTCTCATATCACACCACTAGTGGCGCCAGCGTCGGTCGGTCGGTCTGCCGCGCCTCTGATGGCCAGTATGGGTACCGTCCGCCCCCACAGTGCACCCGTCGCAGTGGCGGTGGCCAGAGGGTCTACAGGGCGGACACCGACTCCCCTTACTGTCGTATCAGCTACGGTTGATGGACTACCAACACCTCTAGTTGTAAGCGCGGGGACTTCAAGAGCTGCAATTCAACCATCGGGGACCTCGCTACAGCAGTCGTCTTCCCAGACCGTGGGAGCCCTCCCCTCTCACTCTACCTCCCCTCAGTGGCGCCCAGCTCCCGCTCTACCCAGCCCCCGCACCTCTACTCCCTCCGTCTCTCGTCGTGTCGCTCGAGGTCCACGCCGACTCGTATCTGCTCTACCTCGAGATGCGTCTGGTGTAGTGGTGTTGCCTTTGCGTCTGGGAGGCCTCACTCTACAGAGCTTGGGCCGTGTGTTACCTGATCGACCTGCCTACCACTCAACCACCGCCCTCTACCCTGTCGGTTTCGTGTCTCTACGACGCTTCATCAGTGTAACTACGCCCCGCCGAGCTGGAGTATATCGATGTGCCATCGAAGACGGCGGCGCGCACCCCCGCTTTTCCATCACATCCATCACTCAGACATCTGAAGGAAGTGACAACGCTGACCCGTCACCAGAGTCTTCCACAGCCTCTTCAGCACCTTCTTCCTCTTCCCAACCCGTGACATTCCTCGGAAGAAGCGCAGACGAGTGCCATCGCCAACTTCTTCAGCGTCTATCTGGGGCACTTGGACGTCCTCTGCCCGCCTCATGCCGTGTCGTCGGAGAAGCATTCTTCGGTCTGACCCATCCTTCCGTACAGCAGCTGCTACAGGCTTCAGCAGGGGCGGCGCAGTGCGGGAGGTATAGGAGTGTGGCGTTTGAGGTGACTGAAGCGACTGTGGCGGTGCCGGGGGAGACTGAGCCGAGTGTAAACGGGTCGGCGCTGTGGGCTAGGCTGGTAGAGGGGGCCCAGTGAGGATAGAAGGCCCCAGTGAGGATAGAGGGCCCCAGTGAGGATAGAGGGGCCCAGTGAGGATAGAGGGGCCAATGAAAGATAGAGGATCCAAATGGAGGACAAAGGGGCCTAATGAAGGATAGAGGGGTCGCTGATGATAGAGGGGACACTGATGATAGAGGGGACACTGAGCATAGAGGGGTCACTGGTCAGTGAGGATGGAGGGGTCCAATGAAAGATAGAGGATCCAAATGGAGGACAGAGGGACCCAATGAACACAGTAGGGTAGCGGCCCAGTTGAGGGACCGTGCTGTGAGCCTGGCTAGTAGAGTTGGCCAGTGAGGATAGAGGGACCCCAGTGAGAGCAGAGGGCCCGCACTGTAGGCCCACTGAGGACAGACTTGGGGCTGAGCTTTAGGTTGAAATGGCTGAGTGCCGATTGGGTCCAGTGGGGAAGGAGGTCATAGAGGGATGCCGTGGGGTCCAGCGACAAAGTGACCACGCTCCGGGCTCAGAGTTTAGGACTGAGCTGTGGATTCAGTCGGCAAAGGTCCATTGAGGTCAGAGGGGAATGAAGTGCCTCCGGTCGGTAAACTGAGGGGCAGGAGGGCGGGGACCGTTTTCAGGGAACGATATTGACTTATGTGTAAACCTGTCTACTGTGTTTTGATCTCATTGTAAAATAGAGTGTGAACTTTCATTTGTTGATACGCTTGCTGACGTGGAGAAAGCTTCGCCCAATGAATATGTCGAACAAATACAGCTTTTATTGAGACTAAGGAGCGATGGGCGACAGATAGCCAACAAGTCTTCACACTTCGATCTCAATGGTCGGGCTGATGTAAATTTGTAGTGTACCTAGGCATATAATAATAATATCAACTGGTATTTTTTTTCAAACCTCACATCTATAGCTTTTTCCGTGAACTTCCGGGAAGCACGAAGATCACCCTTAAATTAAAAGTTTCCAATCGTCCGATCCTGAAATCCTGATCAAATGTGTGCTTTTGTAAGCTTGTTCTGACATTGCTTGATCTGTCAAAGCAGACCAACTTGCATAGGCGGCGGAACGGGGAGGGCACTGGGGCACCGTGCCCTTTTTGATTTTGACATTTTAACATTAGCCCTATGGGCGTTGCATGGAAAGAATGGTACATACCAAAAGTCGGCAGTGTCCCCCCCCCCCCTTAGTTGAAGGTGTTCCGCCGCTACTGCCAACTTGAGAACATCCCAGTGACTACTTTTTTGAAAGTTTCTATCCAATTGGTCGGAAATTCACGGGACGATGGAAGTGGGGTTTGGAAAAAAAAAACGCGTCGATTTAGTATAAGCAGACTGGATTACCGATGACGCTCAGGTTTAGGTACATAATTCGGTATGCCTTATGGTCTAGATATCATTATAGTCTCTTGACAATTCAGTCACCCGACTCTGAGGCTGGGGGGATCCAGAGCGTCGTAAGCCTCGTCGCAGCTGCGACGTGTCGCAAGTTGTGTAGTAAGTCGTTTTTGGAGGGATCAATTGATGAGTAGCGTTACTTAAGAAGTAAAGTCTATCGCAAAGTGCCTGATTTACGACACAACTTACGAATTTGAAATAGCAGTCGTAAGTTGTGTCGCAAGTTGATATGGCCTTGAGGGAGAGGTCACAGGTCACAGGTCATTAGGGTCATGGTCACGAAATTTGCATGGTACGTGGAAAATTGTTGAAACTTGAGATCCTGAAAATTTCGTTGCAATCCGTTGCCGCTAACGCGAGTTCTAAAGCAAGAACCAACGGTTCGTCTATGAGGCCTCAATCCGCGCCAGCGAGAGTGTTGAACATGGTGCATAATATGTTATATTCACATTTATTGGGGTATTCATGGATATGAAGTAGCCTAACACCATTCCAGCAACTACTGGCGAATCCAGAAAGGCGGTCTTGGACGTTGCGAGGGGCATCCCCCAAAGGATTCTCCCAATTCTAAAAACGATGTGTCCCAGATGACCCCCATGACCTCGAATTGATCTCTGTGATGACCCCAAGTTGACCTCTGTAACCTGACGTGTCCCAGATGACCTCCAATTGAGCTTTGTGATGACCCCAAGTTGACCTCTGTAACCTGACCAGGGGTGTCGATTTTTCAAAATGGTTGGGGGTGCTCAACCACTGCACCGGGTGAAAGATTGCAGCTTTGCCATGGGGCACAACCGTACAAGGCATGCAGGGTATCACCATAAGGTACTGATAATCCCGGGATTTCCACTAATATTTCCCAAAGGTTAAACGTTCTTCAAAATCATTCTGCTCGTCCTAGTACTTGGCTTACCTCATTACAATAAACATCTTTCCGAAAAAAGTCGTACATTTGCCGGCAGCTCGGCAGCAGCCCCGGCACCTCTGTAATAAGGTGACAGAAACCGATGATCGCGATTAGCACCGGTGCAGCAGCCCCTGCGGTCCACAGGGGCGGATATTGCGCGGGAGGCAACGGTATAACTACGAGGCTCTGGCGTTAATCAGACGATCACAATAATCGTTGAAAAAATGACACGTGGTCGCATTTCGATATTTATGGGTTTACGATTTTCCTCAGTGGCGTAGCCAGGTGGGCCCGTGAGGCACATGCCCCCCCCCCCATCAGGTTCAGGGGCCCATCGGGTTATTCGGGCCTGAGGGGCCCTGCGGCGCCAATTGGACGCTGAGGTTCCACGTTGGCTATACAGGGTGTTTCACAATTAACGTTACAAGATCAAAGCTCAATATCTCTGGGCATAATGACTTTATTTCCGCCAAAATTGCACCATATGCACCCAAAACCACAGAGACCAACATCCTTAAGTCCTACTCGAAGTGGCCGCCTCCAGCCTTCACAGCGGCAGCCAACCGTCTCCTGAAGTCACGGACTGCGGCACGCACAACCGCGTCGGGGATCTTCTGCCAGGCGCTGATCAGAGATCGCTTGAGATCGTCGATCTTCTTGTGCGGTTTGGAGCAGGCTTCCTTCTCGAGCACAGACCACATCGTGTAATCCATCGGATTCAGATTTGGGGATGATGGGGGCCACTGGTCCTTGGTGATGAAGCCTGGGCAGTGGGCAGTTGTCTTCGCACCACTGTTGGGTGACGCGCGCGGTGTGGCTTGTTGCGCCGTCCTGCTGAAAAGTCCAGCCCTTGTCTCCGTACGTCTTCTTGGCCCACGGCTTCAGCGTCTGTTCAAGGATGGTCTCGATGTAGGTTTCTTTGTTGATTTTTGGGACTTTGGATAAAGTCCCTTTTCATCCTGGATTTTGCGGCTTTCATCTTCAGACGCGGGTGTGGACTTGTGTGGCGGCGCGAAGGTACTGGACTCGAATGACCTCTAGACTGCAAGGAGGGTCAAGATCTGTGCTTTCTGGCGACCGACAGCTGTTGCGGAGTTTCATGCACTAGTGCACCCGATCCGCATCGCGGCGGGCCGCAGGGGGCACACGTTAATCCACCCACACATCCCAGCCGCCAGGTCGGCTCGCCGGCCGGCACGCAAGTCACCTTTCTGACACGAGGTACGAAATGACGTCATTGCCATTGAAGCCTGTGCGTTGAAGACTTGAAATTCATACAGGAGGTGCGTAATAGATACCTGTTGACTACACCACGCAGCCATGTACAGCCGTCTTCAAACAGGTCCTCGAGCAACAAGCTTATCACACAGGCTCTAATCCTGATATTCGAGATAATCGCAGACTCGGACCTCATTTGGATCAGACTTTCATCTGCTACACCCATTATCTGTCCAAAGGGCATTCAAAATGCAATTAACCAGGACCAGAATTATGTGCTCTTTCCAATGGTGTATAATATTTTCAGAAAAACCACCTTTAAGTGCATCAAAATTGAGTGGGAACTCTTGTAACGGTAATTGTGAAACACCCTGTATTTGGACTCAGAAGGGCCCCACAGGGCTCGATAAGAACACCTCATGGGCCTACAAGTACCAACATTATCTCCATAAGGGCCCCAAGCCAGCCTCTGAGGGCCACTTGCCGGCCTCTGGGGGTCTTAACCGGCGTATAGGGGGCCAGCTCTAGGAGCTGCACACCCGCCTGTAATGGCCCCACGGCCCACACCCATTTCTCTGAGGGCCCCTATAACGGCGACTGTGAGGGCCCTCACCGGCGCCCCTGAGCGCCACACCGGCGTCTCTGAGGGCCCCACACCCCTAACTCTGAGGCCCTACACCAATGCCTTTAAAAACCCTACATGGGCGGTTCTGAGGGCCCTTGTCAGTTACCAGCGACCCTGACGGCCCCACACAGGTGACTCGGAGGGTCCCAGCGGCGTCTGAGCGCACCATGCCAGTCTCTGAGAACCCCACAAGGCTCCTGAAGGCACCAGTGACCTCTTGATATCTTCTTGTCGGCCTATCAAGGGTTCGTTCCGTAACAGCAGTTCTGAGGGCCCCACGCTCGCCTGTGATGGCCCTAAAGCAGTGTCTCAGAGAGCCCCCACAACGGCGCCTGTGAAGTGTGAGGGCCGTCACCGGCGACTGTGAAGCCCCCACACCGGCGCCTCCAGTCCGGGGGCCCCACATTGCCATATCTTAGGGCCCCACCACTAGTGCCTCTTAAGGCCCTATATCGATGGCTCTGAGGGCCCAACATCGTAGCTTCTGAACTCTGAAGGCCCCACAAGTGCGTATGTGACGGCCACCCTGCCACCGGTGACATTTGAAGGCCCCACACCGGCGACTCTGAGGGCCCCATCGGCGTCTGAGTCCGTTCCGGTCTCTAAAGACGACCCCACAGGGTTTCTGAAGGTACTACCGGCCTCTGATGGCCCTTTGCTGGCCTCTGAGGGCCCGTCGCCGGTCTCTAGAGCCCCCTGCCGGCTTGTAAAGAGTACGCGCCAGCAGCTCTAAGGGTCCGACACACGTGTACGACGGACCCACACCAGTGTCTTTGCAACTTAACGTCTTTTTTCGCCCTTCTTCTTAAAACTAACTTTTCTTTTCTTTACATCTTTATTTCATGCCTTGTAAATTGCGTAATTGTTTTATTTTTAGTAGTGAAATACTGCAGAACAATTATTTTCCTCAAGCAGAGTTAGTGGGAGTTATTGAGGGACAAAATCATTGGGGGTGCCCGGAAAACCATTGGGGGTGCTCATTTGAGCATTGGGGGTGCTGCAGCACCCCCAAAGGTATACAAATCGACACCTGAACCTGACGTGTCCCAGATGACCTCCGTGACCTCCAATAGAGCTCTGTGATGACCCCAAGTTGACCTCTGTGACCTGACGTGTCCCTTGATGACCCCCATGACCTCCAATAGAGCTCTGTGATGACCCCAAGTTGACCTCTGTTACCTGAAGTGTCCCAGATGACCTCCGTGACCTCCAATTGAGCTCTCTGATGACTCCAAGCTGACCTCTGTGACTTGATGTGTCCCAGATGACCTCCAATTGAGCTCTGTGATGACCCCAAGTTGACCTCTGTAGCCTGACGTGTCACAGATGACCTGCGTGATCTCCAATAGAGCTCTGTGGTGACCCCAAGTTTACCTCTGTGACCTGACGTGTCCCAGATGACCTCCAATTGAGCTCTGTGATGACCCCAAGTTGACCTCTGTATCCTGACGTGTCCCAGATGACCTCCGTGACCTCCAATTGAGGTCTGTGATGATCTCAAGTTGACCTCTGTGACCTGACGTGTCCCATATGACCTCTGTAACCTCTAAGTGACCCCTCTGATGACTCCAAGCTGACCTATCTGACCTGATGTGCCCCAGATAACCGAC